TGATAGTCCATGTTGCTCGCAATTTCCCTCATTACGACGTCGATCATCCGGTGGTCTTATGTCGCGGCTACAAAGCCGCCCCCAGTCTCCCTGCCGTACGGGACGTTTCAAGGCCTCGACACTGGGAACCTGACCAAATTCCTCGGGGTTCCATTTGCCCATGCGTAGGGCCGCCGCCACCTAGGTCTTGGATTGGGGTTGACGCGATTTTCCAGCCCGCGCTTTGAAACACCAAAACCTCCAAGACTGCTGCACGGTGTGCAGAATGCCACAGACTTTGGGCCGGCTTGTCCCCAGCAGGCATTGACCCCTCTGCCAATCGATTTCCATCCTGGAATATATCCTTCCATCTCTGAAGATTGTCAGTTCCCGCCTTTCCAACCGGTGTATTGACTTCACCGGCATTAAAGGTTTAACGCTTGATATCTTCAAGCCCACTGAATCGGATTCCAGATCGAAGCTTCCTGTATTTGTGGTACATACAGTCATCATGCTTTACGTCGCGTGGGGGTGCTAACATTCGAATTAATATTCGCTGTGAATAGTATATATTTGGGGGTGAGTCCTCTCGCAGTTTCATTGAGCTGAGTAACAGATTCACATTGCGTTCCATTAGGTGGCTTTGAGATTGGCAATTCAAGGGATGTGGACTTTTCTTCGTTAACGGAGCGCTCCATCGCAGCGAGGGAGCCTGTCGTTGTTGTCGCAATAAATTACCGCGTCACTGGTGAACTTGAATGCTCCTCATCGCCAGTTCATCTCGCGACCTAACACGCCTCCTTAGCGTTTGGCTTTTTAGGCGGAAGGGAAGTGGCCGCGGCAGGAATAAGCAACCTGGGCTTACGAGACCGTAGGTCTTCATAACTCATACCATCCGAGGATTAGATTTACGAATATCTTTGCAGAGATTTATGCCCTCGAATGGGTTAAAAAGCATATCTCTGCATTTGGTGGAGATCCTCATCGAGTAGTGATGTGGCTCAGTTTCTACTTATTAGGTGTGCTCTCACTGATGGACATCCGAAGCGGAGGACAGAGCGCAGGAGCTGTATCTACCTCTTTGCTTCTTCTTTCCAACAAGCAGAACTCGAATGCCTTGTTTCGGGGGGCGGTCATGGTAAGCGGATTTCACGACAGGCAACTCAATGCTTAATTTATTATCATCAGATATCTGGTTCCCCTATCACGTCGCCTTCCGTCACCGATGGGCAGGCAGCGTATGATAGTCTGGTGGCCACCAACAATTGCACTGCTTCCCCGGACACCCTCGATTGTCTTCGGCGCGTCCCTTTCGATTCCCTCATGGCTACGGTGAACAAAACTCAAGATCTATTCGCATATGGGGGTCTGGCCCTTGTCTGGCGTCCTCGCATTGACGGAGATGTTATCGTGGAAGACCCGTTGGTGTCGGTTTCTCGGGGATTATATGCCAAGGTGGCTTTTTGCGCTTTAAATGAGCGTTGTATACACTAACATTCGCAGATTCCTATCATGACAGGAGACTGCGATGACGAGGGAACGTAAGCATGTTCATTCACCAAGGACGCTAATCTGATCATCCTCCAGGGTGTTCTCACTGAATGAAGCCAATATTACGTATGTCTGCTATATCCCAACGATATTCTGCTTGACCGCTGCCGTCGCCAGAACGAACGCAGAATTCCTGGATTACGCGCATTCTACGTTTGTTGCCATATTTTTCCACTTGGATTTCTGGCTTATTCTCCCTGTAGATTTCTCCCAGTAAGCTCGCAGGGAGAGCTCGCTCGGATTGGAGTACTGTACCCCGACGATCCTACTCAGGTGCGCCATTTGAACTACCAACTCGTTCCTGGGCTGAAATCGAACCTAGGGCTCCCCATTCAACACTGGCACCGCTAACCAACTGACGTATGTTCTCTCAAGAGCGTCTCCTTATGCATAGATGACCAACAGTCCATAGGCCGCAGTACAAGCGGCTTTCTGCATTCCAGGGGGACATTTTCTTTACAGCTCCGCGCAGATTCTTCTTAGAGCGCGCATCCGCGACACAGAATGCGTGGAGTTGGTGTGCGTTGTTATTACTTACTACGCCCTAATAAATGTGGATACTGAATATTTTGTTAGTGTTCGCACGGGGAAAAGACACGCCGATTGGCGCCAACCATGGTGGCGACTTGCCGATCTGGTTCCCACCCAACAGAACGAGTGATACCACTGGGGCCGATGCTCTGAGTGAGCGGGATATTTCTTCCTTTGGTGAACAACTGAATAAGCATATCAATTACAGTCAATTTCATTAACACGCTGAATCCCAACCACGCCGCTGCATCCTCGACCATCAAGCCTACCATCCTCTGGCCGAAGTGGAACACGCCGTCGTCGGTTGGGTCACCCTCTCTGCTGACATTCAGTGACCCCAATGTTGTCAACATCACCGGGGAAAACTTCCGGGTCGACGCTATAGGTTTCTTGAATGAGGTACTTCTACGAGAGGCAGGTGGATTCAAATAGTCCTTCAGCTCCCCTGGTGATGTGGGTTCGTTGAAAATGGTCGAAAGTGATAATACAAGCTTGAAGTCTTCGGCTTGTTTACATAATATGTCTACGCCGGGAAGATTTATGTCCGTTCCAAATACTCAAAGGTAATAATATAAAAACGCGCCGAGGACATTCTCGAGCAGCCCATCCAGCAAGCTTTATGATAGGTAAACAGCTCTGCAGATAAAAGCGAATTTGTTCCAGGCATGCTTACCTTCGTTAAAATAGACTCCCGCCAATAGGTCCAGCCATCCATGTAGGGTGCAAGGGGTTGGGAGCATCCGCCAGTCCGTCCCAAGGAGAATAGAACAGGACAGGCGGGGAGTATGTGAGTTCGAGATGAAGTCCACTCTGCAGGAACGGCTGTAGTTCCGAACGAATATCGAGCTCCATGCCCCGGTTCAAGCTCATTACGACACGCTTCAACGTCCGCAGTTTGATGAAACGGATGATTGCGGCATCGGAAACAGAACAGAGGAATTTCATTTCCAGGGCCTGGAGATCTGGGAAACAGACGTTGGAGACGTCGGGCGCTGGGATAAGGGATTCAAAAATCTCAGCGTCGAATATCTCCCCGTGAAAACTCGATTCCCCGGAGAACGCGCTGCTAATCCCGATCTCGCGAATAGTAGGCGGAAGCCCGCGAAAGAAATCAGCCAGAGACGACTTTGAAAACAATTCAATGCTGAGATCTAAGATCTCGAGGCGAGGGGTGGCGGCGAGGAAGGGGGCAAAGGAGATGTTGTCGCTATCGGACCTTCCGCGAAGTGTTAAATTCCGCAATTGTGGCAGCGAGACCCGTCGAAGTAGTTGGTGAACGGTCGACGAAAGGGTGCGGCAATTTAGGTCCAGGGTGTGAAGAAAAGAGAGTTCCAGAATCGGCCCTTCACCTCCGATGCTGGGCTCGGGACCGTCACGAACGCGGAACCGGCAAGTCTGCAGCTGGGGGCACCGGGAGAGCAGCTGCAGAGTCATTTCGCTGGTCAATGAACGCCCTGTTGCCCGCCGTAATTTAAGCCACATTGAAAGCTCTGTTAGACGAGCCCAGCGAAGCGGCAACTCCAAGGGGCTGAAGCTGTTTCCTGTAATGTGAACGGAATCCACTTTGGGGCCGCCAAGGAGGCCCAAAGAGACCCATCCGATGAGATTATCTCTGTGCTGGAGGATCTCGTTGAGGCTGACGGACTTGAGGATCGGCACATCGGCCTCGGTGAGATGTGACATGGTCTCCAGAACAGAAGAGGGGGCCGTGAAGGCGATGTGTTCCCAGCGCGATGTGAACGGGAGGAGGGCCTGAAGGAGACGGTGTTGTGTCGATGAAGTCAAGTTGTCAAGGATGAAACTCGTGCAGTGCAGCGATATGGACAATGGACAATTGCCCGATCGACCGAGCCACATCTTGGTAACCTCGAGCCGCTGCGCCAGCTTGCCTTCGAATAGCGGAAGGGCGGAATCGTAGGGGCATCTAGGCTCTACGATGTGGAGCCGTGACCACAAGCGCGGCGTTGAGAGGGATATGGATCTCCAGGAGCTGCATATGCGCCCGAGGAGGACAGGCGCCTCCACGGCGCTCATAACACAGTTGCGATGGGTTGGAAGGCATGCTACGAATATTTCCTGGATGACATCCAATGGCAATCGACGAACCGGCGAAATGAGGGCCATATGAGCATCCACGTAGGCACTAAGCTCAGCGCGCTCCTCTGCCCGTTTGCCAAGCGCCTTTTTCAAATCGGCGATTTCATCCTCTAGTTCCTTCAATCGAAGAGTGGGTCCAGTGAGAAGAGACTGGATCTCTACTACTTCCTCGTCCTGTGGGCAATAATTGGTGCCTAGCTTCGGGGTGAACGGAGAGGACATGATGATGGCAGTGTCGTGCCACCAATTTATAGGGATTACGGCCTTGTAAGGCTGTGTAAATTCACAGCTTTTGGTGACGCGAACCACTAAGTGAGTGCGAATGACCGATTGGAGCGGAACAAAAAGTTGGATTGTGCTGTGCTTCCACTTCGCGTTTGCCGATAAGCATCAGGAGGGATATCCAAGCTTGCAGCATATGCGCTTATTTCGCCAGCGGATGGCAAGCTCGAGATGCTCGACGACCTAGGATACCGGCAGGTTTTGCTGTACATAATAGTTGCGCCAGATTTAGAAGAGGATACATTCTTCTTCATTCATACCAGATGCCCAGCGCCGCCGCACTTTAGGGTGCCCAGAATGATCGATGCACGTCCGGCCGCACCTTGGTCACCGCAGCTCAGAGTGGAAGCGAAAAGCAAGAGAGGTCGGAGATTGCCGGGCCACGTGCCCGACAGTTCAAGTGATGTTCAACAGGGTTAGCACGTTGCCGGGCCTTCAAGTTCCTCTGTTAAAATTAGAGTGCCGTTGAAAAGAGGAGGCAATTTAAGAGTATTGACGGAAACAAAAGAGCCAGAACGCATGGTGACACGTCCGGAGAGGAACTGATTTTTAAAAAAAACATAAAGCACCTTGATTCGAACAAGGACCTCCCACTGAAAGTACCCTGAAACCAAAATCCAAGCAGGTGTGTTACCATTCCACCACCAGGCCTTATCTTTCTCTTCTGCAGCACCGAATAGATGGTACTTTTTTGGCGTTGCTCCTAGAAAACATTTTTGATGTAAAAGACAAGCAAAAAGACCAAATTATCAAATTTAAGCGGCCTGACTTTGAGTCGAACAAGGATCTCCCGCCAAATATTTTCTGTATGCATAAAGTATTGCAGGTGCGCTACCATTACACCAACAGGCCGTGCAGATTAGGTTTATTCCTATAACTAACTACCCCATAGCGCAAATATGGCTTATCGCGCGAAGCCCCCGATCCATCACGGCGCGCCCGCCCACTCCCGCTTCCGCTCACTGAAAAGCACAAAAGTAGAAAGGAATATTAAACAGATGCAATACTCAGGTACCAGGTCTCCTGTGCGAGCGACTAGATAAATATATTCAAAACTCAGAAAACTCAGAAAGATGGGGTGGGGCGGCGGTGATAGTATCAAAACACGAGATACGCCGGGCATCGGGGACGTGAGGATGGACCGGGGGCAGGAGATAGACATGTAACAGATAGTAGATGCCAACGGGCAAACTCGTCCACGAGAGGCGCCTCCATAGCCTCAACGACAGTGTCCGTCTCAACAGGACACGCGTGTACATCGGCGGCGTCATGAAGAGCTCCGCGTCCCGCGCTCACCCGAGCCCGAGCCGACGATGAGATGCTGGTGCTCGTGGTCAGAATCGGAGCTGGCGGTTGAGTTGAGGAAGCGGAAGCGGAAAGCCGAACCGCGGAGGACGCGAAAGGCGAGGACGGCGAGGAGCCCAGAACGCGCAAGGGAAGGAAGGGGGAGGGAGTCCGGAGGAGGTGAAGAGGGGGAGGCGAGACAGAGGCTGGGGTAGTGTAATGCAGGAATCGTGCCATCCATGGGTGAGATGGATGGCTGCATGAGCCCGCAAGCGAAGCCTGGCGGGGATTCGAGGAATCAAGGGCGGCACGGGCCCACCCGCGTCGCGGGCGAAGCCAAGGGGAAAAGGAGAAGTGAGAACGGACGGAGGAATGCGGCGCAGGTATCAACGAGGAGACAGGCGAGGGCGCGAGGTAATGAAGGAGGGAGGGCAACAGCAGGGAGGGGAAGACGGAAGGAAGGCTGGGCTCAGGACGCGGCGGACAGTGCCGGATTCGGACGCAGGAGGTAACACCGGAGGGATGGTGGCAGGAAGGTGGCAATGAAAGAAGAAAAGTGACGACGGAGTAAAAGAAGAGCGGGTGGTGCAAGAAGGGAGACGCAAAGTGCACATACAGAAGGAACGGGCGGCGCGCGTGCGCCCTTGTGATGGAAACGCCCGTGCTCCTGTCCGTGCTCTGGTGCGTGCGCACGCGATACGATGCGCAGATTGTCACTCCCATATTGCGACTGAGCATCCTGTCCTTCGTAACTGGGAGGCCGTGGCGGCGGTGGGCGCATCCTTGGCGGACAGCGTTCGAGACCGGTGGCCTGCCGGGGGAGGCGCCGCGTGGAGAGGCTGGATGCGGCGGGGCGAGGCAAGTGCAGGGACGTGCTAAAGAGCGGCGCTGCCAGTGCGCGTAGATAGATGGAGCGATGCTTCAATGCGAAAAATGCCACTGAGAGAAGTCTGAAGCGGGAACGCACGCTTCCGGAGCCCGCACCCTCGCTGCTTGAATCGTCCGCTGCGTCCGACACGCTCAATGATCGATATGGGGTCAGCGCATCATCATCTTGAGCCTCTGCGTTGCGTGAGGTTGTGGTTCGAGTCGGAGACGGCCCGCAGAGAGGAGAGAGTCGACAAGCTCCCGGCCTTGTGGGCAGAAAGACAGCGGAAAGCAAGAGTGAGTCGGGCGTTGCCGGATCTACACTCCGGAGCTCTCCGGAACACGAGTTGAAGTTGAAAGGACTGAAATTCACAGCGCGTCGTGGAACATACAGGACGTCTCATTTATGAGACGAGAGTACATGTAAGAAATGAACGATTCCAGCATCGGACGGCTGCGCGCGCCGCGGGAAAAGGTAAAAATATAAAAGACCGACCTGACCTCGAATTGAACAAGGATCTCCTGCAGAAAGTAGTACTGTTGCCGAAAACCGACCACAGGCATGTTACCATTACACCATCAGGCCTTACCCAGTGGTTTGGGCTTCCGTGTAAATAAGACAGAGACTCAATCCTCAACTCGAAATTTAATTCATAGGCAAATTATCAGTTTCATGCAAGGCATGCTGCAGAGACACAAAGTCGACCTGACTCTGAGCGGGAGCGAAACGGGGCAAAGGCAAATTGAGTCTAATACAGCAAGCCGTGCAGATAAGAAACGGGGAGGGACGTGAAATTTATGAGTGAAATTCGAGGAGAGAAAACCTTGGATGAAGTATACACACAGTGCAGCAATTCCCCGGCCACTGAGTTGCCACGAATTATTGGGAGCACGGCGTCCGAGCTCTAGCTAAAGGGCAGCCTCCGAGTGATGATGGCCTCGGAAGAGTGCGGAGATGCAGCGGGCAGCCGCGGGGGCCCAGACTCGCGGCAGCGTGGATTGAAGTTTGGAGAATTCAGAGGATCATCATGTGTAGTCGTAGACAGCGCCGCGAGTGCGTTCAAAGCCAAAGGGCAGGCTGGATATGTCATCGCGAGATAGGGGTGCGGCGGTCAGCGGGCACGAAGACATTAGCGACGCTGGGACGTGGGGAAAGTAAAAAGCGGCCAGGAGGTCACGCACAGCTGGGAACGTCGATAGACAGTCTTGGAGACAGCAAGTGCCAATTCTGAAGTGAAGCCAATGTCGCAGGTCACAGCACTTACCAAGGAGGATTATCCCGGGCTGGAACGGTTGACTGGACCGCTGTGGAGGTGAGAGAGAATATCCGGCAAGTGTGGATATAAACTCGAGCATACTTGTTGAACCTGACGGCGGAGACTCGGGTGCTGGAACTCTGGGACGTTAGAGCATGCAGGCTACATCGCGCAGCATGCTGCGTAAGCAGTGGACAAAATAGCGAGCGCGGGGATAGACGCAGCCCACTAGATGGTTCAATGTAAAGAATCTACGCGGGGCGCGTGAGCTGCTATTGGAGCAGGTTCGAAGATGGTAGGTGTTCTGAAGGAGAGGCCTTGCGAGCCACGAAACAAGGTGATCGGTAGGCCGAGAATGTAATAGCTGAGCTGGGGCAGACGGAGACGTGTCAGGATCCCAGAGGGCTTTCGGGTGAGAGAAGCTTGAACATGAACCTGTTAGCGGAGACATGAAAGCGGAGGCTAATTTGGAGCGCTAGGACTTGCGAAAACCCAAAGCCATGGAAATCGTCCACACAACAGATCGATGGCCGGGAAGTAAAGGTCGCATTGTGAGATACGTTCGGAGCAAAAGCATATCCGAGTCACAGAGAAGCGGCAAAATAATGCGAGGTAAGTACGGGCATGCGCTCGCGGCTGATGGAAGGGGCCTTAAGTTCGACGAAAGTAGCTTGAGCCTGCCTCCGGAGCCTCGGTTGGGTTGGGGGCTGATTTTGGAGCGCTTGAGCGTGGCGGGGAGGGGAAAGAAGAGAAAAACAGATCGCACACTTGGACAAACTGGGACACTTCGTGAGAGACGAGATAAAAAAACTTGAATTGACGCTAGAGGACGCAGCGTGAAACTCAATCACCCGTGCCGGCGGGGTTCGAGGTAATCGCAAAGGCTTGAACCCTCGGCGCCGTTCGACGCACGCAGTTCCGCCGGGACCTATGTGGGCGGCGCTTCAGTCGTCTCTTGAGGTCATAGAACGCAAGAGAAATACTTCAGACTCAGAATGCAATTCGAGACACGCGCTTCAGACAAAGGGACGCGGTCCCCTGAGCTCTTGCAACAAGGAGTGGAATCCGATTCCTTGATGTGCGGTGGGGGACGTGCTGAAAGGTCCTGGACAGGAGTACGTTGAGACGACAGGGACTTGGGCGTTGGGGCGCGGGGACAAAAACCAGTCGGACCTCCGCGCAAATCGCGCGTATAGACGTTGAGACAAAAGAGACCGGGCCTCGGATCAGAAGGGGGCACATAGGGAGCTGTGTCGCTTGCTATCCTCGACGATTTTCCCGAGACGCCGCCTCGGGAGGCCGAGGTTGTGGAATGCACGAGATGTGCCGCGCCTGCCTGGAGCCGGCAACAAGAAGTCGAGGATCAGTTAAGCTGGGTGAACCTTAGCAAAGAGTCCCCAGCCACTGGATGTCTCTGCGTATGCGCCCGAGCTCGCAGCGGGGTAAAAGAAAGAAGGTTATGCCAGCCATCGGGCGCAGACAGAACTTCAAGGAAAAGCGGATGGCTGTGCAATGCAAAGAGAGAATCGGGCGTTGCCGGAGCACGTGCCCTCTCCTCCTGTCGGTTGAACTTGAAGTTGAAAGAAATTCATGACACTTTGAGCCTCCAGTTTTGAGCCATAAATCAAATGAACGAAATAGAACATTTCCAGGGTTGCCGTTCAGAGGACAGAAAAAGCATGCAAAAAGTCCGGACATTCGCCGATAGGGCCTGACCTTGAGTCGAGCAAGGATCTTCCACCAAACACTTTGCCAAGCAGTCAGCAAGAACAACTACACCACCACCCATATCCTCAGCCTACCCAACTGTGAACAAAATATTTACATGTCTTGAGAATCAAAAGAAAAATCACCCCAAAAGGCCCATGGCCTGACCTTGATTCGAACAAGGATCCCCCACTGAAAAGTTCTACCCGACGGCATCAACTTAAAGTAGATGTGTTACCACTCCACCACCAGGCCATGTTCTACCCCTCCTCTAGGGCGTAGTAACAGGAAGAATTTGGGCAACGATACAATGAAAAAGGATGACTTGACCTAAAGCAGGCGACAGGTACTGGTCGCTCGACATCGACACCCTGAGCTCCCACTTCGGTACTGAGGCAGACCTGAAGGCGCTCGGCGCTGCGCTGCATGCGCGGGATGTACCTCATCATGATGCTGGACGTCGTCATCAATCACTACGCCGGCGTCCCGACCAACATCACGCTCTCAGGCCTCTTTACCTTCGACTTCGCGAGCCTCCTGCCGCTGGGCACAGAACCTAGGATTCCTTCCGCAGTGCTTCATCACGGACTACACGAACCAGACGGATGTGGAGCAATGCTGGCTCGGCGACGAGCGTCGAGAAGCTTCCGCTGCCGGACATCGACACGGAGGACGCCACGATCGTCGCGACGCTTAGCAAGTGGATCAAGGACACCGTCGCGGAGTACGGCATCGACGACGTGCGCATCGACACCGTCAAGCACATCCGCCACGACTTCTGGGCGGACTTTTCCGCGAGCGCGGGCGTCTTCACGCTTGGCGAGGTGCGTCCTGTGTGGTCCTTCCTTTGAAGCGAATAACGTTTCTTTGCAATAGGTTCTGAGCGACAACGTGACCTACGCAGGGTCCTACATTGGCGCCGCCGTCGACACTGCTTATCACCGCCTTCTCTCGCACGTCGGGCAACCTCTCCGCCCTCGAGTCGCTGCCGGCGCTGTCGCCGCTTTCCTCCACGCCCTCCACGCTCACCGCCGCGTGCTCCCCTTCATAGCGGTACTGATGCCGTCCCGAGCGGATACGAGACGAACAAGCCCTTCGTCGCTCACATCAAAGCCCTGAACGGCGTGCGCCGCGAGCTTCCACACGGGTGCGTCACCTTCGCCTTTCTCTTTGCCCGTCGCTCACGCTCTTCACCAGGCGGACCCGAGCACGATCAAGCACTGTTCCTCACGAATATCGGCGCGAATGCGACCAGGCAGCCGACGTGGAGTATCCCTGTGGGGCTCTACGCGCCGAATACGACGCTCGTGGACGCGCTTGCGTGCGCGGCGCTCGTCGTCGGCGCGGACGGCGCGACGAACGTGTCGGCGAAAGCGGGGCTGCTGCAGGTGCTCATCCCTGCGAACATGCTTAACAGCGCCGAGCGGGCGTAAAGCGGGGTCTTGCGGTGCTTGGGGCCGTGCTGGGGGTCGCTACGCTCGTGTAGGTGGTGCGGTCGTGTGGAGGGTTTCCAGGGTAGCGTCCAGGCATGAGTGTACGATTTAACTTTGCTGCATACGTATTAGTGCTCCTGGCGGATAATTTGGAAGTTGTGTACATTACATAGAGACTCGTAGACAGACTAGACACAAAAGCATGATTGCTTTATTTTCTTCCCCTGCTCCTTCCCCAGCTCGGCTCGTTCGTACTCGGAATCTCGAAGATGACCGCCATGTCTTGAATAAAATTTTAGCTCCCCAGACGCGAGATGGAGGTGTGCCGGAAATGGAAGAGATGAGGGGCCGGGGATCTCTTCAATTAAATACCAGAAGCAAGAAGTAGAGTAGACTTTACATGCGGTATGTACGGTGATAAGAGAATGGTACAATATTTTTGGGCGCGGTCCGTCTCGCTTCAATGTTTTTTTTCGAGAACGCGGTGCAAAAGCAAGAAAGTACAGTCAAGAAGTGGCTATCGTCTGACGTCAATGTTGGCCTCACAATGTTACTGTATACAGAAGCTGCGTACCGTTTGCGTTTGTAATTCATTCAATTAAAATGCCACGAGCATTTGCGAGGGGGATTCGCGCGTATATGCCGTATAAAATACCGCCCCTCAAACCTTCGAAAGAGAACTTTTTCAGACCGCTCAGCCGTGGATTTGCGAGCGCCTCGTCGATTAACCGGCAGTCTTCCGGGGAAGGGCTCCAGCCCACCAGATGTATGGTAATGGTCTCCAGGTTGGACGACGGCAGTGTGGCAAGGATCCTCGGCACTTTGAAGGCCTCCTGGAAATGAAGTTGGAGATCCCTGAGCTTGGTCGCGTATTTTAGGATTCCAGAGGGTTCTGTAAGGGAGTGAGATCTCCACCGCGGATTCGATATCAGAGTACACGAACCGTCATCCTCCCAGACAGGCTGAAGGGAAAGAAACACGAAACCGGGTCCCGCGCGCCGAAAATACTCGACCAACGAAGGATCCTGGGTAACGACGTCGTCGAACTTGTTCAACGTCAGCGACTTCAGGGTCGGGAGTACAGGAAGCGAGAGGAACCAAGCGAACACCAAACCGGCGCCATCCACCACGGATATGTCCAACCTGTGGAGCTGTGCCGGGAACGGAAGCGTCGACGGGAGATCGGCGGGAGTGATAGTCAAAGGGCCAGTGAGCCTGAACGCCTGCAGCGACGGCAGACTTGCAAAAACATCGGCTATCGTGCGTACTGATATCGTGTCCCGGGTGCAGATCACCTCGAAGAGGGATAACGAAGGACAGCGAGCCAGAAACGCAAGCTGCGTCTCAAGCAACGCTTGCAACTGCGAGGCTCCGGGTTTCCCGCGAGCGCTTAGTTGGAGAGTGGTGAGATTGGGGCATCCAGGGAGCTTGGCGAGCTGCTCAAGGTCAAACCCGTCGGATGGAGGTGAGAGAACCAACGCTCGAAGCAAGGAAGGGAGGTCGAGGGACGAGGCCTCAGTGATCTCGAGGAAGGTTTTAAGACGTGATTCGCTGTGTATCTTTGCGTATGAGAAGATGTGGAATCTGCTGCGGGGCAGCCAATTCCGACAGATAAGGCCACATTTTGGAGTAACGTCGCTGGGATCTTCGGCGCTCACTGGCACAGTATGATCGATAACGAGGTCAATGAGTTCTTGTGAAAACTTTCGCATGAAAACTGTGCTCTCGGGAGGGGGGGGAGACTACTAGAATTGAGTGAGATAATAGAGGTCCTAGTGGCCATTCACCTACGTTCGTTCTAGGCCAGATGCAGAGCGGTGGGTCAAATTGAAGTTGAAGGCGATTTTCTTGATGCAAAGGTCAAGCTGGGCCAAACAAGTAGTACGTATACGCTGTCAGAGGGGGAAATGCAAAAGAAAATTACATAGTACCCTGGCAAGTACCGCAGGATAGTTTAGCTACAGAGAAATGCGTGCAGTAGTATAGTACACCGTGGAGGAAGATCAAACTAAAGCTAGGTGCCATCACAAGTTGATTCACAACGTCTGCCATCCGCCGAATCCAATGCCGCCTCAAGCCTGCGCGCGATGACGGTCGGGACGCCATGCGCCATCCAGGTCTTCCGCACCTCCTCCCAGTGCGCAAAGTGCAAGTACTGCCAGCGCCCGCGTCTGCGACCATCCGTCAGCGATTACCGTCAAGTCGTTAAGAACAAAGAGAGCACGCACCTCATCGAAATATCCACCTCGCCGTGCGCGTCGAGATATGGCGGTGGCGAAAATGTGCCATTATTGCTGTAGATATACAGCAGCATGCACCGCTTGACCAAGAAGAAGATGCCAACGGCGCCGCCACATCTAGAAAGCAAGCTAAGTTCGCAAGATCGAAAAATTGAAGCTGAAGACGTACTCTCGCATATGCAGGTTACACTCACCCCGATCATTCTCCTCGTCCCGGCAGCAGTCGCTCTGCATGCAGCATGCCGTCCCACACAGCAGACATATCGCGGCGTCGACCGGGACGGCGCTGCATCGCTGGCACGTCAATGCGCAGTCCTGCGCGCCGAAGGCGTTGTCGAGCACGAGCGGGAGGCGCGCGAGGCGGTATACCGCAGGAAAGTCCAGCACGACGCCGCAGTTCAGCTGCGATGTCGCGTGCGAGTGGCTATAGTGCGCGGACCAGCCGGATAACGCGTTCTGCAGTGTGTCTTGATTGGGCAGGTCGGATAGCGCGGGGACGTTGAGCATCGTGAGCAGGCGATTGTATTCGCAGACATTGCTGCCCACCGCCGGCGGCGTCGGGAAGCACGCGGGAAGCACGGACCGGCAGAGGATGGCGGCGCGGCGGAGGAAGGGGAGTGCGAAGGCGTAGAGAAGTTTCTCGCTGCGGGCCTCGCCGAACGTCTCAGACCAGCGTCGCCGTGTGCTCGAAGACGGGCGAATGGCGCATGACCGACATGAAGAACATGCGCACGTCGCCGAAGATGTCCTCGTGTCGCGCTGTGGCTCCGCGTCTTGTTGAGGACGTACACCAGGCCAATGACGGTACGCGCCAAGCACACGTAATACGCAAGGATGAGGACGTGTCGAAGCATCTCCGGCGCGACAGCAGCGGTCTCCATAAGCACCGTAAAGGGATCGCGGAGGAGAAGGGGGTACGAAAAAGACGTGAGTGACGTCCGGCTCCACTCGGGAAGGAGCCACTTGATGATGCAGCCTCGCGCCCGTCGTCTACGCGCCCCTTGAAGTGTAGCCCCGCGAGCTTGCCTATGCACGTTAGCAGCCCACCTGCGACTCGGACAAGTTGTCCACCACGAGGCCGCTGGTCATCGCCGCCTCTATGCCCCGCTGCGCCCTCTCGATCGCACAGATCGTGTATCGACGAGCTCCGCCGGGAGCGCAACAGAGGTGGGGAGCGCGACGCCGTACGCGCGCTGCACGCGCCTCACGAGCGCGCGCCAAAAGCGCTCCTCCTCCGCAAGGAACTGTTGGAAGCGCTGTAGCAGCTTGCGCGCCTCGACCGCGCCTCCGGGCCCTCCCTCGTGTTCGTGCCAGTGTTATGTAGTATTGTCATTGTGGTTCTTGTGGTGCTGCGGCCGCGCGAGCCGCTGCTTGTATAGCACGAATGAACGCATAGCTCGTTTGCATCAGCAGGTACATTCCCGCGTCACGCGCCTCGCGCGCCGTCGGGTAGAGCAGCAGGAGGTGCAGGTAGCCAGTGATGGAGGCGGGAGTGAAACACACGTAAACACGGTGACATGCCACATGGGTCGGCTTCTCGGCACCCACAGTTTTTTCAACTTGAACCGGGAAGGTCTGGAAT